AACTCTTGGGCTACTCTTTTACCAACGAATAGTGGGATTGACCGTCACATTATAACGTCCCCCACGGCTGAAAGGGCTAGCATGTTTGGTGTGACGGGGATTCGAACCCACGACCCTCGGATTGTGAGTCGAGCGCCCTAACCACTTGGCCATGCCGGGCCTACTGTTAACGGTGTTCCAGTTTAGATTTAACTGGTAGGAAATCCATAGCTTCTGACGAAGCTGTGATATCGAAATATTGTTACGTTCTGGGGATATAGGTCGTAATTATATTTACGTTTATAAAAAAACTAGTTAACTCTAGTTTGCGTTAAACAGAGTTAACAATACTATTTCTGGTTAGTTTATTGTTGAGTTGAGTTTTACTCAGATTCTACAAAGAGAATATTTTACTTAAGGCACATTTGAATAAGAATGAAACAGTTTTCAATCTAAATAAAAAGCGCGTCGTACTTCCAGATTTGTTATTTATTTACCAAACCTTTATCTAACCAGTTTCGTAGCGTTATAGTTTCGTAGATAAAATTCAACATTCAGAAGTAGAAATGAAGGTAAAACACAGACATCTAGGTTGGACACTGTAAATCAAACGAGCTGGCTTCTGGAAGTAAAAAAAAAAATTAATATCCCGGATGAATACATGAAGATTTTAAGTTTAAGTAAGAGGGATGTAGATGAGAATGAAATTAGACTTTTAAAACGAGGTATTAACTTCACACTAAATAATAGACCTAATAACATTCAAATCAAGGAAGATATATATAAAAGTTAAGACTGAAAGGTTTTTTGCTTTTATGAAAATAAAGACACGAGTGAATGAATCTCTTACTAAGACGATGTCAACTTTTGAACCACCAGGTGGAATCAATTCGGAATTAGATTGGACTTGTAAGAAAATAGAAGCATTTTTTTATGAGGGGGTAAAAAGATAATATTTTCAATGGAGAAAGAACAACTTGGAATAAATTGAGAAGAGACGATAGTATTATTCCAAAAAGTAATGAGGATAATATTTTGGTTCTCATGGAAACCAGTTATTATAGTTATATGGTGTTCAAACACTGTAATGATAGTAATCATTATTACAGAACATAAAAGCCAAATTAGTAACATATCTATCGAGTTTTGGAAGTTTGTTTATTGAGCAAGAAACAAAATATACTTGGAAAATTTTATGTTACGAAAATCGTCTAAAAGTATCATACTGAAAGAATACTTAGACAGGTAGAAGTAACTAGTAACCAGGTGTTTTATATATGTCGAGTCGCCCTATTGTAGGTGGCCCGACGTGGTTAGGGCGCTCGACTCGTACTCTAAGGATTATGGGTTCGATTGCCTATCACACCGAATATAGTTGCCCTATTGTAGGTGGCCCGACATGGTTAGGGCACTCGACTCGTACTCTAAGGGTGGTGGGTTCGAATGCCTATCACACCGAATATAGTCGCCCTATTGTAGGTGGCTCGACATTGTTAGGGCACTCGACTCGTACTCTAAGGGTGGTGGGTTCGAATGCCTATCACACCGAATATAGTCGCCCTTTCAGCTGTGGGAGAGTTATAATGTGACGGTCATTCCCGTGATAAAAGAGTTGTCCAAGCTGCGTTCCATCTAGTGATTTTAGAGTATCAATGCTAAAGTA